CAGTATAAATAAACTGGAGTTTATTTATATGTACTGTCTTCTAATTCACAGTTCACATCTCCAATTAGTGAACCGAATATTGAACAGATAATATAGATAATCTATGGGTTACTATAAACCGGTGAATATCCATAGATTTAAATTAACCTGTAAATTATTTATATTATTTAAAATTTAAGGTTGTGTCTAATAGGTCTAAAAGCTTTATTAATGGGTTAATACATCAAATTTAGTCAATAACGATAACGATAATTATATTTAACATTAATTGTCAACTTAATAAGGAAAGATCTTTTCTTATTTTTTTTTACGGATGGCTATCCTTTTTACGTAATAATGATTATGGTAAGGGGATTTTAAATATACTGTACAGTAAACCAAAAATAATTCTCTGATGGTTTTAGTAATAATAAATGTAAAATTCATATGCAAAGATAAATGTAATGTATCAGATCTTTGTAAGCATGAGTTAAAATCAGTTTTTTAATTAGGTTTTACTACTATTGATATTAAGAAACTTCACATAAATCTTTTTCAAAACGATAACAAAATAAATTAAATATAAAAAAAATAAACTAAACTAATTTTAATTCCTATAGCATAGTAAATTTAATTTCAAAAGACTATTAGTTTTTTGATTGAAAAAATAAATTTAACTTGAATATTAATTTTACTTAACCTTTTCTTAATTTTTTTTTCTAGAGTCCCTATGTATTGTTGTAAAATTTCTATTTCTTGATCTTTTTTTTTTTGTAAATCTTCATATAGTTTCTCTAAATCAGCGTGATTATTTTTTAACACATGAAGTTTATTATTTAAATCTCAAATCTGAGAGTCATATTCACTTTCACTATCATCTAAAATTCTGATCTTAAGTTCAAGATCGCTTTCTATCAACATAATCTTAAAATTATGTTGACTTTCTTTATAAATGATTATTTTTTGTGAGCATAGTTTATTTATGATTTGGGAAAGGTCTTTTATTTGTTTTTCAAAGTAATCACAAAGAGATTTTGTGGGATCACCATGTTTGCGAAGATGTCTTGTATTTTTAT